TATAATAACAATAATCGACGGACAGTCGATACGACGCGTACCAGTACCTTAAAACAATATACCCATACACGCGCAATATATTATGTTGCGCATTAAAACGCGTACGAACCGCCGGTGCAACAAGTGCGGTACGTTACGTTATTACGTTATTTTTATACAGTACACAACTGCACGGAGAGTCATACGGCCAAGACCGTATAAGGCCGTTTACAATAACAAAACGCGTATAATATAAACGAAAAATGAAATCAATGAACCGTGCGGACGATTTATAACAAACGACGACGAGCGTATTGCCGGACACTCGTTAACAAATCGTTTTCGTCGACAAATTATTATTATTGTTCGTTTATCCGCGCAATAAAAATAACGTAATAATATACACTGCGGCCGTATACGTACGGGGACAGTGTTATGCCGCCGCAGACAATTTTTTTTTTTTTTTTTTTTTTTTTACATAGGTGTACATAATACTATATTATAGCCGCGTACGCCCGTCGTACACGACCGGTTATGACGGACGGCCGAAACGTTAGAAACGGCTGTGCGTCAAACGCCCAAGTCCAAATGCTGCGACAAACGCTCTTTTTTTTTTTTTTTTTTTACACACAACATGGATTTCGAACGGAACAAAACGGCCCGAGTTTTATTTCGTTGTTGACGTCGAAACGATCTTCGTTGTCGGGCACAAACCGCGCGCACACTCGACTGTATGTGTAAACCGCGGTGTTAAAGACCGACTGGCGATAATTTTTCAACGCCTTTTTTTTCCACATACCAATGATGTTTATAAAACACAACCTACTAAAGTCGATACGTTCAATCGTATACGCGAATCGCACTCGTCCGCAGATAAAAGTCGACTGCGGCGTTTGCACATGATGCACTCACAACGCGCGCGTACAATTATTCAGGAAACCGGGTGCACTACGGCGGGAATTCGCACCGCAGTCGTAATTATTATTATAAACTATAAGCACGCGGTGAAACGTGGGTGGTACGTTTACAATTTATTGGTTAAGAGGATGTCATATCCGCATGTGGTATCTCCGTCTTATACTATAACATAACACACGACATTGAAAAATTACATTGAAAACGTGTAAACTGTGGCGTTCGAATCGAAATCGGAGTTTAATCATAAATATAAAGAATCGAAGCTATTCTATAAAATTAAATAACTTACGTGACATTTTTTTTCAAAAGCTATGTTATAGCCCTTGAAAATATTATCATGTTTTTTAAATGTATGTTTAAACTTCAATTTTCAACTTGAGCGCCAGAAAATATACGGTCTGAGTATAAGAGAAAAAGCGTTTTAGACAAACAAAACTGGCCTTTATATAATTTATATTACAGGGTGATTCTTTTTATAATAAACTAACAATTTTCTCGGGGGATTTTAAATGAATTTGTTATCTGTTGTTTTTTTTTTTTTTTTTAATCATTGTGACGTTGTCGAATCGTTTAAGATTTTACCCCTATTTAATTTAGGCACCTTCAATAAGTGTATACTCATATTTTTGTTTTTTTTTTTTAAATCGGAACCCCCTTTTTAATGACCGTATCGAGATATACGGAGTTATTGGGTGGGGCAAACAATTTATAACGGTTTTAAAATATGATTAAAAAAAAAAAAAAAAAAAAACACCCTTTATAACAGCGGCGTAACTAGAGCCTTTCTTTAAGTCATGATATAAATATTTATTAAACATGTCGAGAAAAAATTATAACTAATATGAACTGTATCAACACAAATTGATGAGCATTATAACAATATAAGCGAACTGCAAATTGATAACGCGGTAATGTTTCACACTTGATATTTTGCATTTTACATTGTGTGAAAAAAACAAACATTAGTTTAGGCTCCAGGCCTCTTCGGAGGTAATGTATCGCCCGCATCGTCCTCCTTGAGGACGCCACTGCTGTATACAGACATAAATATATAAATATTTATATGTATATAAATTTTTTTAATCTGACGACAATTTTTACATTCTCTGCTGCATATATTATAGTTTATTGGACGATCTGTTGCGGTGTTATACGCTCGATAAATATAGCGAGTGCAATGGCGATCGATTTTGAAGCGAAAAAAAATACGGAAACAAAAAACAATGTAAATTGGGTCAATAGGTCTCAGTCGCCACGGCGGGCTCTTATTCGTAATATTATACGTTTCATTAAAATTATAACAATTTATTGTGTACACAGATACCTGTGCGTGTTTACTGAAAATGTGTAATGCGAAAACTAAAACGAATATTATAATAATTGTATTGGTATGGGTAAACGCATTAGGATTTATTGGATCCGCGCGTTAAAAAACGACCGTGATGCGTATCGGTAGGTTTTTTTTTTTTATTTATTTCATTTTTATTACTACACCAAGACCGGATTGTTGTGCGAAAAACTCGTTCGAAACAATTAAACGACGCTAAATACGCACTGTATAAGTGCAGTTAACAGAATTAATTCCAATAAGTACCTATATATGTTATTATTGGGGCTGTAAATTTGTAGGAAAATGCATTTTTTATTTTTATTGAATCTGAAATGCTTTCTAAGTACATAATTTGAATTATGTAACAACAAATTCATTTACGAAATTTTTATTTTGTAATTTTTTTTGATGTTTTTTTTATTTTTAAGTTCATTTTTGGACTTTTCAAATCATATTTTCCGGTATTTTTAATCAAATTCCGTCAATTAACATCTTTATACACGTAATATTTTGTTTTACTCACAGGTTATAAGTACGTCAAATTTATATTTTATAAAATAATATTTTAAACGAGTTATATACGAGTTAGGTAAAGATGAGGATTCGATAAAATAAGGCAACATTGCAGAAATCAACTTATTTAACATTCAAATTCGGTTAACATTTTTAAAATTTTTTTTTAATAAATAAATAAATTTGTAGGTAAATAATATACTAATATGATTAATAACAAAATAAATATAAAAATTAAATTAAAAACCATTTTAAGTGCATTTTTTGAGACTTTAAATGCATATTTGATTCCTTTTTTTGTGTATTTCTAATGTGAGGTTTTTTAAGGATTTTCACTACATTCAATTCATAACCCTGTAGGTGTTGTAATATTAATTTGCGTTTAAGACCGTTTTAGAACGGATATCGTTGAAATCGTTTCGACGATCCTCTCGGATTATTATTGAAAAACAAAAAAAAAAAAAAAAAACCTTTTAAGAG